TGCTCTACAAGGGCTTCTCCGACAACGTCCCCGTGTCCTCCATTCTGATAGCGATTTCCAAGCTTTTGCCAGACTTTCCCTCGCAAATGATAGTGATATGCTTCTTGAGCGATTACTCTGTCTCAAATTGAAAGATCATCGGGCGCCATGGCATGAGATGCAGGATGTTTGGGGGGCGAAATTGTGGGATATTACGCCAATTTGTCAGATTTCCGAGGTGGTGGAGAATGACACTGTGATATTGGGAGATGCCAAGGGCGCGATGATTAACTGGGCGTTTCTTGAAGCAATTGATTATGAGCCTATACGACCACAGATAGCTAATTGGACGCTACTGAGATTGGGTGCGTATTTTAGTATGATATTTGTGCTTTTTGTAGCGATGATGACGGTGTTTCTGAGTCGTGAAACTGAGAGACATAAGAGGATAACGGCGTTTCCGTTTTCGATCTTGTGGCAAACATTTTTGGGCGTGTTTGTAGGGCATGTAATTGCGGTGCCATGGGTGCTGCGCCATTTGTATGGTTCTGAAATTCATCAGACGCAGGCTAGATTATATGGAATTTCTGGGCGTCCTGAATTAAGCAGAGTGGAAGAGTTGATGTTTGGGTCCGATCAGGGACGCTTGCAGTGGATGGAACGAGCAAATAGTGCGGCGGATCCTCTTGTTGGAGAAGAGCATGGTGACAAGAATGGACTTAGATCGTTCACGCTCATCGACACATGTACATTGACAGCGATTCCATTCGAAGCTGAGCTTCCTCCTTCGGTAGTCTTGGCAGGCGCGCGGACTCGTGGACTAGTACGGATGCTTTTATGCTCGTATGATGCCACCGCGGCGAAATTATGTAAAGAGGCGGTTATGCAAATGGAAACTGTGGTGCTTGACAGGATGCCGAAGTTAAATCGAGTGCGGTTTAGTTTGAAGCCAGCGAGGGGGAAATTGACAAATACAGAGTAAATGTAATAAAATGGAGATGAAATGGAATACTGTAGAGAATTCAAAACTTAATTGTATTAATATGTCACCACTGTTGCTTATATTTGTGGATGCCAACTTACCTGTTGGTCATGCCCAGAAGACTTTTTTAGAGCATTGGTGCGAGTGTATAAAATAGTGTGGACTGAATATGCTCAGATCCCCAAGGAGGATATAAAATCGATCAATTTGAATCATCTAAAGCCTTTAAAGTCTCTGATAGAATGAACAATCATGGCGCTAGGTAGAAGTCCATAGTCCATATTATCAGCTCTTAAATGAGAAGCTATGAAATGGTCATTTTTGTAAATCATTCAGCACAATAGTGCTCTATCTGTAGTTGTACAAATGTTCCACCATCAAAAAGATTATGAAAGAAGATACATTACTCAATTGCCAGTTTGATATTCTTTGATGTTGTTATCCAACTAGACAAGATATCATCTACTCTGTACAAGCCCCGCTGATGGGAACTTGAGACGCCGTGCCGTTTGTCAATAGCCTTCCGGACTACGGATGGAAATCTGTTGACAGTTATACAGAAGATAGATGATTTTCATAGGTGCCTTTGCACAAGTGTATGCTTCAGTATAGCTGTTCTTGCTTTCAGGAACTACCTATCGTGATGTTTGGACAGTAAATTGGAATGGAGCGTGGGGTATCGGATCGTGGATATAAGAAAAACATTACTGGAGTAGAGCTAATGTAAAGTTTAGATTTCCCCCAAACAATCCTCCCTTAACCCTGAGAGACAGGGAAAAAAGATTCGAGAATATGAGAGGACTCGTTGATTGAATTGACATCATGTATTTGAGCCGCCAACATTTCTTAAGGGTGCTAACGTGCCATTTCCATATTCAGATAGAGTAGCTACCAAAATCCTTGACATCGGAGAACACTAAAATCGATGACCGAGGCTTTTGATGGGTGTACTTCAATTCAGTATGAAATGTATTTGAGAATCGATGTCAAGGCTCTTTGTTCTTTGTTCCTAGCTGACTTTGTTCCCTTTGTATACAAATAAGTGGCTGTCGAGTACCTGCATGATTAAAATGTTACAATCGAGTTCCATTGTTGTTCTAGGACGTGGTGCTGTAATGTTAGTATGCATGAAATCTAGTATATATTGATAAACAATGACATGTTTCGCAATCAATTCGGAATCCCTTTGGAATTCATTCTGAATCCTCTTCGCTCCTTTAGCTCAGTGGTAGAGCGGAAGATTGCAGTTTCGCACAAATATCTTCAGGTCAATCGTTCGAACCGGTTAGGGAGCTTCAATTGCTTCACTGCGAAGAATTCAGATTTTTTTGACTTTTTTGTTCATAAGTACAATACATAGAATCTTCCGGTCATGGTTTTCCAAACCTCTCTTTTTTTTGGATTTTGATTTTGAACTCAACGTCCTTGACTGAATTGAAGCTTAGTCAGGTGGGTACCAAAATAGTTTAGCTATACTGAGTACCGTACTCGAAAGACTCGCCTTCGGTTTAACTCCGGTCGGAGAAATATCATACCGAGTCTGCCTGGCATTCTGGTCTGGGTGATGATTGAAGTTTAAACGTGATGAACAAGCAAAAATCTGCCACGACAACCTTGCCAATCATTGAGATTACACATTACACATTAGGCGTCCTGATGTTCATCATGAGAATGATTCCAAGACCGCGATTTCGGGATTATACACGGTAGTTCAACAATCTGATATTGTAAAGCACTGAAGCGAATATCCCTCCATTCCGGGTTCTCTACTTTCAATCACAGCATCATGTAAGATATCGTGCTAACAAAGAAGAAAACAAATCCTTTCCTCTGTGCAGGTGTTGAACGGCGAATTTCAGTAACGTTAACAAAACTATAGTTTCCTTATTACCAAGAAGAACACAAACACAAACAAACTCATTCCGAGAATCAATCAAAGTTTTTCAACAATTGAACTCTAACAACAAAATCATAAGTTTTGGCCTCGAGTGCCGTGATCTGTGGGGATGGTGGCAGGAACATGACCCCACACTCGGTGCCGACGTCTAGATATGGAAGGCCATTTCTACTCCCAGAGTCCCAAAGAATCAGACCGCACTTACTATGCGCAGCATTAATTTAAATTGAGATTGCGTTACTCTACTCTATACAAGACAAGCTTTTATTCCTCGTTATTCCGGTTGAACTATTCCCATTTGAATCGCAAAATCCTTTTATTCTTACACGTGCCGATGAAGAGACCATTCCTTAGTGGTGCAGGGGGCGAACGATGGCAGGAGCATGGATCGCGTTATTGGCAATCTCCGCAATTCCACTCTATGAACTTTGAAGTCGACTTCGCTTGCATTTGAACGGTGAATGGGAATAATGTTTCGATCGATCCTAAGAATTTAAAGTATATAAAGGTGTAATTCACCCAGTATGGAGTCTTCAGAGCTCCCCACACTGTCAACCCCTCGGTCTCCAAGTCAATTATTTCAAGCTGTAAATTCGTCAGTCCTGCACCGAGCCATCAATCATGCGTCTTGCAACTGCATCTTTGGCCTTGCTTCCGGCCGTGGCCCAAGCATTGAATATCGTTTCCGCTAATGATGATGGATGGGCTGAAATGAACATTCGAACTTTATACACTGCTCTGACTAACGCGGGGCATGATGTTCTCGTTTCTGCTCCTGCAGAAAACAAGAGTGGTTCTGGTATGAGAATCCTTCTCTTTTGCTTCTTGGTGAACAAATCTGACTTCTCATGAAAAGGTTCTCTAACTGGTACACCTACCAAACTTACCGAGGCATGCGAATTCAATTCTTGCCCGAGTGGTAGTCCAGCGGTGGGATACAATGCCTCAGCACCTCAATTCAACTACGTCAACTCTTACCCTGCGGAGGCAATGAATTATGGAATTACAACCTTATCTCCCGGGTATTTCGGAGGCGCGCCTGACCTTGCTGTTACTGGTCCAAACGTTGGCGGTATGTATAGTCTTTTTGGAATGTTCCCTGCATAGACTTTAAACTAACGATGAATAGTAAACACCGGTGTTATATCGTTCATCTCTGGTACAGTTGGAGCGGCCGTTGAGGCAGTTGGTCTGGGCATACCGGCGATTGCTTTCAGTGGAGCCGAAGGATCCGCAATAGGTTGGGACGTTGCTGTACCTGCATATTCTACCATCTACGGCGAATTATCCGCGATCGTAGTTGACGCCCTCACCGCTTCTAACACTCCATACCTCCCAGACAAGACTTTCTTGAACGTCAATTTCCCTAAAACTGCCGGTTGCACCTCGGTTTCTGATTACAGCTTCGTCCTGTCCAGAATCTACAGTGCCGTTGCTGGAGTCAGTGGTACCGATGTCGTTACTTGCAACAATGGAGGTAGACTTCCTACCGAGACTACTGTTGTTGGAACGTCTGGATGCTATGCCAGTATCAGTCTTGGTGGAACCAACAAGAGGGATGCTAGTGCTGCCAACCAAGCGATTGTTTTGGAGAAACTCTCGAGCATTCTCACCTGTTTACCTTGATTGGCTAGCTTCATTCATGGGTAAATTGAGGTAGATTGAAGTAATATATTAAAGTACATATATCAAAACAAAATCTTAGCAGATACCATAATCAAAATCTATAGTAATTTAAACATCTCAAATCTCTGGTATAGAACTCAAGTTGGTAAATATAATTACTTCCAGTTGCAATTAAGTTAAAGTGAATGAAATGAATCTAGATTTGAAATTTATAAGTGAGTTGGATATTTTTTTCCATATTAGCTTTTCTCTTATTTATTTTCTTTGATATGGAAGGGAAATAAAGATATAATGTAACATTCATAATTCCTTGCTTTTATTAGAATTATCCACTTTATATTTACGTCCACAGGTCTAGATTAACTCTGGAAGCATCACGTGCCATTTGTTATGTAATATCTTCACGCGGCAGACGTGCAACCTCAATCACCTATAATCATACTCCCATCAAATGTCCGCAGCACTTGACCCAACAGCTTCGAATCCTGCGTTAATGGAATAAATGACCTGTTTCATATGCTAGTTCCAGGTTGAACGCTTGAAATACTTGCATGGACGCCACTAAAAGAATAGAGCTTGCGTGTGCTGAATGCCGCCGAAGGAAGCGCAAATGTGACGGAGGAAAGCCGCAATGTTCTTCATGCCGGACGCATGAAAGAGACTGTATTTATGATTATGAGCGAAACAACCGGAAGTGAGAATGATCTCTGGCCTCTACTTCTACTCATATCTAATCCATATTCGCTCAGACGCAGAAGAGATCCGGAAGAGATTGCGCATCTTGAAGAACAAATTGACATACTTCGTCAAAGAGTAAGAGAGCTAGAGAATGGCGCTTCCTCTAAAATTTCCACGCGTGATGCGACTTTCGAGTCAATTCACATCACACCCACAAACTTGGCCGGTGGTGAATCTTCTGGCGTTGCTTCCGATCGTGAAACACGACTAGCTTCTGCAATCGACGAGGTAGGGGATATGATGTGGAAGCTGAAAATAGACAGCAACGGAGGCACCTCATTTATTGGCCCGTCATCCAACCTCCAGTTCATTTCTACCCCGCAAGAACCTAGAAGTGACACCCAGCTTCACAATGGCCAAATTGCCATGACATCTAAGATGCCTTCCTTAGACGAGTGTCTTGTAGACTATGTGTTACAGCAGGAGCTTTTAGATGTCTTTACCTCTGTTTTAAACCCGGATAATCAGTTTCTCGAGTCATCCTTTCTCGATAAATATGTTTTTCACAATAACGAAGCTAAATTAGATGAGATATTGCTACGAACTGCAATGTTTGCTCTTGCAGCATGTTATTCTAAGAGGAATAATGCTGCTCATATTAGCAATATGTTTTATTTGCACGCTGGAGGTCTTGTACAGCAATGTTGCCAAAGCTGTCCGTCGCTCCTTGTGATTCGGGCATTAGCAATGTTGTGCTGGCGAGATCTCACTCTGGACAACGAAAACATGGCATGGATGTATAACTGTTAGTTCTATCGATAATTTTAAAACAGCAGATTGATTAATTGCTGTGCCTAGGTATGGGTGCGGCTTTAACAACACACCTTGGTTTACATGTAGTGGAGTATCAAAAAATCGCAGGCATTTCGCCCGAGGATAAAGACTCACGCATCCGAACGTTTTGGCTTTGGTTTCGTATTGACCGGTAAGTTTTTTTCGATGCAGCTAGGAACCTTGACTGATATTTCTAAGCATTGCCACACTAAGTCTAGGACGACAATGTGCCATTCCATGGACTCGTGTCAGGACTCCGTGGTTAGAGAGTATTCTAACATCACCAGTGTCACTCACAGAACTCGTGTTTAATTATGAGTGTCAGCTCCTTTTCATATTTGATAGGTACATGGATCAAATGTATGTCAACCAATTAGAATATCTGGTATTGAACTGACGAATTTAGTTATTCCTTTCAGTTTCACGATTTGGATAGCCAGAGTCGCAACAAACTTTTTTTCGATGCTCGCGAAAAGCTATCTACTTTCTATAATGAAACAAACAGTCATTTACCAACTCACCGGAGTGCACAGTCTAGCGGCATCCTCACTTTCCGGATGACGTATCACACATGCATCATACTGGTGCAGCGGCCTCTATTGCGCGAAGACCCCAATAGCGCTCTTTACCGGGTGGCTGTTCAATCATCAACTTCTTCTGCTGTTGCTATTACGAGTCTGCTACGAGACTACCGAAAAGCGGGGTACCTCCAGATTGCCCCATTTTCTGTAGTGCACCATGTCCTTACCGCAGCCATTATGCATCTGCTTAGTGCGACCTCCTCTAATGGCACTTTACGTAAGCGATCAGTCCATCAATTTCGAGAGTGCATAGAAGCATTAGGTCAAATGAAGTTTGCTTGGAAGAGACTGCGCAAGGCTATTGCATTACTTCAAGAACTTGCCCATAGATGGTCCGTGGTGTTCGCATTGCCAATGAGATTGAGCTATCCTCTTTCTGCTGATGTTCAAAGAGAGCATCCAAGTCAGAGCAATGTTGAACTGTCAGAGAATGACCAAAGCACGGCTAATTCTCAGATGCAAAACAAGGATGACATATTTTTCATGTCCTGCCCGGCTGATCTAACCAATAATTCTTTTGCCGAAAATTTCGGTCCAACAGAAATCGAAGGGGGTGAAGATTTTGCGCAACCTGATTTCACATTTGGATTCTATGAGAGAGGTGACCCTTTTCAATTAAACGATCTGAATTGGTTATTTCCATATATAGATCAATCTTGAATAGCGTCCTCTTCTATCGCTGACACACGAAGCTTGAAGACGTGGCTTTGGTTATGGAACTTTACAGCACCGAATCCAAAATGATATTTCCAACTACATGTTTGAGAGTCTTTCTCAACCTCAAAGCTTTTGACGTTATGACGTTGTGAGCTGGTAGTCTGATCGTCAAGTTTGTTCTTTTGGAGCGTTGAGTTTTCCTCCTCAAGCATGTCAACTTCAACGGAGTTATCTAGGCCTGTGTTTCGATTGAAAGTTGTCTCAGGAAAACAAGCAAGAGTTGCTGCTAGAATCACAACCCAAAGGATTGCTAGAAGCCAAAATCTCCAATGCCAGTACAAACTTGATATTACATATCCGCTCACGATCGGTGTGAGGGTGTTCGAGATTATGACATTGAAGTTCCAAAGTGCAATACGTCTACTACGCTCGTGCACGAAGAATATACCGGTAATTTAAGAGGCACCCGCCATAGCATAAAAACCACCCATTCCGAGTCCTGTTGCGATGGATTAGCAATGCTCAAACAATTTACAATCCCGGACATGTCCTCAAATTCAACTTGAATAGCGCGTGCCCCCAATAGTGAATGGTATGAATTTGCTGCATCAGCCCAACCACATCCAGCAACAATTATAATTGCTGTAACAAGATACACCATTCGCTTTCCATAGACTTCAGCTATGCAGGGACATAAGTATGCGCCCAGCCCAAGAGTCATGATCAAGCTCCCGTTCAAAAGGGCCATATCCGTTAGCTGGACATCAAGTAATACGGCGACGGCAGTGAAACCAGGCACAAGAACAGGCACAAGTGAGCTGGCCGCACATGCTCCGAAAACAATGGCTGCAAAGAGAAGTTCTTTCTTGTATCGAGGCCAATTCAATGGATCTAATGGTGATTCGGATGGCTTGGGAACGAGGATGACTGTGTCTCGGCTCCTTCTGGGTTTGATGCATTATCCAAACTCTCTAGGGGATTGGTACCAGATGGGGTCATGTTTGAAGCTGGCTCTAGAATGCCGAAGACCATCTTGACTTTGCTTTCCGAGAACAGATGCGCACAATGTGAAAAAGGAAATATGATATTTGAATTCTATGAAGACATGAAGATAATGAAAAGAGCTGAGTACATAATTTCCAACACAAAATATTTGCAGCTCTTTATATTATGCATTTATTTCAGTCTGCTTTGATTATTGATATACAGCATATGGCATTATTCCGATCTTATCAAGTGGTTCGCCGACATGGTCTTGTTCTTATTAAACAAGCGGCGGCTCGAATATGCCGCTGCGATAGCTTCATTTCATAGCATGACACGATCCGAGCTTCAGCGGATTTACGGATCTACAACCAACCAACTAAATCACTCAATTAACCTTGTGACCAGTCTTTCAAAAAGAATAAATATGCAGTGTTGTTGATCTATTCTTTTTTTTTTCAGAGAAGTTTTTTATCCTCAAAAGATTAATAACACAAATTCAGCGAATTTTTCTTCTCAAAAATGGCCTCAACACCAACACCTCCAAGACACGTGCGAGTTGCAGTGACACAGTTTGAACCTGTTTGGCTCGACTTACAAAAAACCGTTGACAAAACTTGCGTTCTCATCAAAGAGGCATCTGCCAATGGTGCACAGCTGGTCTCATTCCCCGAATGTTGGATTCCTGGGTATCCTTCATGGATATGGTAGGGTTTTCATCCATCCTCTATTCCCAAGCTCCGCTAACGATTATCATCTCCTCAAGGGCTCGAAGCGTCGATTTCGATCTCTCCACTACCTATATCAAAAATTCACTGCGTGTCGATTCACCCGAAATGAAGCGCATCTGCACAGCGGCAAAGGAATCCAATATATCAGTCGTATTAGGCTTTAGCGAGAACTTCAACCACAGTCTTTACATCTCTCAAGCAATCATCGACCAAGAGGGTGTTATACAAATATCGCGTCGAAAGCTCAAGCCTACACATATGGAAAGAACCGTATTTGGCGAAGCATCCGGTTCATCGTTAAAGAACGTCGTTGAGCTTCCGGGTCTGGGCCGTGTAGGCGTTTTGGCTTGTTGGGAACATACATTACCTCTACTTAAATATCATACTTATAATCAGAATGAAAGTATTCACGTGGCGCAATTACCACCTATCCCCGAGTATACGGGGGGACAGGTTCTTTGGTCTATGTTCAGAGATGGTAGGTTTACTTACCTGACACATACCCCAATAGAGGTAATAATCGTGCTGACGGAATATCTTAGGGAGTCGAGCTCTCTCGCAGTCTTATGCTATAGAATCGCAATCATTTGTTCTGCATACTACCGCAGTTTTAAGTCAGGAAGGTATCGACAAGATGAAAACAGGAGAAGGTCTGGTACATAATGTACCAGGTGGAGGTACATCTGCTATTTTCGGACCCGATGGGAGGAAATTGTCTGAAGATTTGCCGGAAACGGTAGAGGGTTTTATCTATGCGGATCTGGATCTGGATGATATCATTAAGTGTAAGGGTTTCTTGGATCTTTGTGGTCATTATAGTCGGCCGGATTTGTTGTGGTTAGGTGTGGATGATAGGGAGAGGGTTCCGGTTGGTGGTCCGACGACTTAGTTGATAAAGCTTGGTGCTTGAGATCTGTGTGTTATTTATCTTATATATAATTCTATCACAAATTCTATATATAAGCCGAGGAAATATGTATACCTATACGGTACGGAATATACAGAGCTATGATGGTGAGTTTCGGGGTTTAAAAGATATACTTTTGTATCTACTAGTAAAAGGGTTATGACTGTCCTGATTGGATTTACTTCTATTCGTGCGGCCTGAAAGTAAGTCTTACAAAACTGTGAAATCTAAACAGGTCAGTTTAATCAATAAGAAGAAATACTGCCTAGCGTTCAGAGGCTTATGATCGTTATCTTATCCAGGCGGCTTCTATTTGCTGCCTCTATAGATCTAGACTAGGCGGAAAGAAAGAGGTCGCTTAAGATTAAGGCTTAAGTATCACTACAGAGTAACGACTATTGGATTAGATGATTGAAGTTCTAATTAAGAATCAATTAATTCGGATGGGATGGGATGGGAATTGTGTCATATATAGATAGTTAATTTGTGGTAGATAGTGTTATTGCTTGAATTACAAATAAACGATCGGGACTTGTAAGCTGTGTGTGGGTGGCGTTCCTCTGTTAGTAGTAAAATGTGATAAGTGAGGTTTGATTTGAGCTGTGAGTGGATGGTTTTGGTGGATTTACATGGATTTACATGGATTTACATACTCCTTTTACTCATGAGGAGAATCATATCGACGCGAACTCTTCTATCTACCACCCTGCTATCATCTTCGTCCAGCGGTCTCTGCTTTAACCTCAGTTTAGCCGCTTGTCGGAGGGGCATTACAAGCTTTTTGGGCAGAGACTCTAACTATGAAAATGTCGAGCATGCCCAAATTCCAATGCATTTGTATCTAGACTGGTGGAATGATGTAAAGTACTAGTGCATTGTTTACGGCGTCAACTATCACAAGAAAGTTTCTTGATACCGTTTCTACTTCCATTTTCTAATTTTGATTTTGCGTTTGTCTTGTACCTGTGAATGTTCGATAGTCAGGTATATGTACGTGTTACCTTTAAAACTGGGTGTAGGACTCCTCATCAGCAGAATTTCTGATCTGTGTTGATGAATGTTTGAAAGTCCTTGGTGAATTCGAGGATGTTGAAAACAGCCCACCAGCCCCTGTACACTTGATGGAATCTCGGTGGTGAATCGCGGTGATTGGTAGCATTAATATTCAAGTCAATAGTAAGTCTATTGTCCGCTGTGGAATCTAATCGGTCTCTGAAAATTAAATATAGAAACCAGCTAGTTATTCACTTTTAAACATACCAAAAAACATGCATATGAAAAGTCGGGATGGAAAAAACATGGAATCCGAAAAACTAAAAGAAAAAGCAGATGAATATTCCAGATTAAGTTTGTAAATTCTAAACCTAGATAATAAACCAGATGAGAAGTTCAGGTCAAAAAATATCTCTGGAGTGCTAGTGAGATAAATAGTTTTTAGTGGTGATGCAGTGACTGATAATGAAAGCCTCGCTTAATATTATTATCTCCTTTCTTTAATACCACTAAATCCCGTATGCCTAATTTGGAAAAGCTTAAAGGGGTTAGTAGTTTGTGATTAAGCTGAAGGCAAAAAGAAGGGAGGGATAGGAAGAGGAGAAAAAATATGAATGAGAGAAGAGGTAGTTGAAGAGAAACTAAAAAGCGGTGCGGGATACTAGCTCATTATCTATGTATGTACAGGTAGTACATGTATGTATATATACTTCTAAGCGATTACCTTCGTCATTTCCATCCCCTCTAATCTTATTCACAAATCAATATCTAGAGGATGACGAAGCGAGTCCTCGATTTCTCGTTGCTATTCCATCAATCGGGAGACTGGATAATGAATTTCGTATGAAAGAAAAATAATAAAAGCAACAGGCTATAAAGGAAAATAAATGTATTGTTCTTTACTTCGTTGGGCTTTAACATCGTAACATTTTAAATTTCTAGGAATGCGAGGTGATATAGGTGGTAAGGCTAAAGGACGATAGTTCGAGGTTCGAAACACAAAGCTTCAAAGATACAAGTTTCTTGCTGCACTACTAGTCTTTTGTTGGATCTAGCAGTACGAAGATTGAACTCAAGATCTAGAACGGAACGATCTCAACACCTTATCAACTATGGCACATTCAAAAGTGCGATTCTGTATATTCACTTTCGGATAGAGTCGTTAAATGAGATATCTCATCTAGACACGCCGGAGTATACTGTCCAATATCTACATCACAACTTAACACTGAAATCCGACACCATGAAACGTTAGGATTAATCTTCACCAAACTGATAATTTAAACACTCGATAATCATCTAATACGATTTTAAGGTTAGACCATAAATATATATCTTCAACACAGGCCGATTCATAGTTATAGCTCTGATTTGACTCGATTTACTATATATTCGAGTAGAAATAAGGCATCTTTTAAGTGCATCGTTATGTTTCATATCATTTTTAAGAGTCATATGAGATTTTGGGAGGTTTTCATGAACATTTCATATCATCTGATTGATCAGGGTTATCCAGGGCTTTCACGGTCTCTTGGGGATCTGGAAGTGTTAATCACCCCTACCTTAGTACTTACTAATACAAAACGACACTGATGTAGAATATTTTACAGGATTTCCTAACTAATTTACACTTATCCATACTTAAACCACTACCATTCAATATCACCCGGCATACCACCGGGTCTTCGAGGCCTATACTCCCAGGCCTATTCACTAAAAGCCACTTTCCATGGCCGTTCAATGTGTTTTTTGATTAATATAAGCTAAAATATGCCCGTATTTTCATTATTGCCCATCATTCAGCATCTCCTGGAAATACCACAGCCTAAAATTATACGTTTCTATGACTGAAAATCTCATTGCAGGATCCTCCAGCGTATTTTTGATTCATTTTTCATGAATCATGCCCAAATCACCACTATTCGGGTGTCATACAGTATAGCAATGTCATCAAAATCCCGAAAATAGATAGTTTAGTGACTGGAAGTTCCTAATGACTCGAAAAATGCAATGACCGGGCCTAGAGCTGTCTGTGAATCAATCTGTATTTAATGATGTATGTGATTGCATAGTCTTTTTGAGGTGGTTTTGACTCTAAAAGTCAATAGAATGATTGTTTAAGTCCCCAGATGACGCACATTTGATAATTTGGGTCATGAATGTACTCCATTTTGAGGATATTTTGACTCGAAAGTACAAGGAATGACACAGAAAAGTCTTAAATGACGCGGACATAGTGGTAAATATATGAATCTACATCATTTTCAGATGCTTTTGACTCGAAAAATCAACGAAATGATGCTGAGATGCCTGTAATGACACAGAATAGCTAATATCTTTATGAATATTCATCGTTTCGAGGTGATTTTTTACTCGAATATTTGTCCCTCAGTGTCCGTTTCCAGTGTCTATTTTTGCATAAATGGTCCAGTCCCCCCCTTTAGTGTCTCTTTTTTTCTCAACCTCATCTACGATTCCGATACATCTACCATACTTCTCAAGTACACTGCACCAGCTCCGTACAAATCAACACCTAGTTCTCCCTACACAAGCTCCACACAAAATAGAGCTAACTCCATACTACTCAACCCTAAACTAAGAATTCTTCTGTCGCTTGAAGCTCCTCATCGTTTCGCCGGTGATTTAGTGCTCTTTTCAACTTCGGTCAAGCTCGTTTATTCGCAGTCTACATTGTTTTTCATCGAAGACAAGCTTCGGTAAGTACTGTTTCCCAGAATGCATTGGTATAGTAGCTAAACGATAGAGGTTCTTCGCATAGTACACGCTAGAATCAGCTTAGGTTCTACCTCCTCAATATCGACAGTATGGCTGATCATAAGTGGCCCAAGGTACAAATCGACCCATCAACTGGCCGAGAATACATGAGGGTATGGGGATGAGGTCAATAAGAGATGGATCTTAAAATGGGCCGATCCTCAAAACTTACCCGTTACACCCGCGCAATCTGAATACACTCGATCCCTCTCAAGTCCAAACTACCCCACCGTTTACACCGACACCTCCAGTCAAAACTACGATGCCACCCCATACCAGCCTACCCAGTCCAGCGCCTTCAGCCAGGACTATTCCACAGTTCAATCCTATACCAGCAGTCAAACCCAGCCAGCCGCCTCCGACTTAACGTCCAGTACGGGCTACAATGCGGGCTACGATACGACCTACTCTGCCGAGCCGGCCTATAAAAGTCAGGCTTACAGTATGCCTGTTGACACTACATATGCGGCAAACCGCGACCCAGGTACAGCTTATGGTGCACATTCTAGTCACGAAAAAGGCAAGGCGGTTGACCGAGCCCCAGCTCCGACACAAGGAGGCCAAAGCAGCTGGCTTCCTGACACTGCAGGCGTTACTACCCAGATGTATGGAGAGCCAGAGGATATGGCATTGGATACAACTCCATTCTATTCAGAAGATCATTATGCTGGAAATCGGCGAGGCTCAGGTTCCGGCTCCGGGAGTTTCGGTTCATCCAAGCCCGTCCAGTATGATTACACGGAATCGATGGATAAAGTGTCAGTTCGCTGTTCATATAAAGTACCAGTTGTTGATCCTTCATACCCAAGTATCGGATGGCAGTGGTACCCAGCGCGAATGCAACGCTATCGCTGCAGGAAGACGACGTTGTGTAACTCACGATGCTCTTGACAGCCAACACCCAATGTCTTTCCAGACACTTTTAATGGATTATCAACAGCCTGTGAAAAATTATGACGGTTCATATACATATGTAAGACCGACACCCAAGCCAATGGTTAGGCTTCCATCTGGGGCTTTTGTACACCAGAAATGTGATAATCGAGAAATTACCGAGCAGTTCTACTGCACAGATTGTCGGCCTACCTTACTAATTTGTTCTTATGGTCTCGCACAAGGGCTTTGCGGAAGAAAGGGGCAGCCAGAGTTACACCCGCACAAGAGTAATGAGTACATTCCCCAATTTCAGGATTTTTGGAACTGTCCAGCTCATAAAACGCATGCTGTTCAGGGGCCTTAAAATCCTCCTGCTGCTCAAAGGAAACAATCTAGCGAATTTGGAGCGTCATCAGAAGGCATGGCCATAGACACTAACTGTCCCCCTTGGGGGGACCGCCGTAAGCGAACATCCGGTCACAAACGTGCATCATATAGTGGTGAAAATGCAAGGTATGGATGAAGTGGCGAATATTATCTAGAAAAACAATCTGGACGTCATTGGATGAGAAGATAGGAATGGTAAAGGAATCTAGAAGCTGAGAAAGTGAAAGAACTGGAGCAGGAAAGGGAATTCCACGAACATACAAGCGAGGAGGAAAGATACAGGGAGGGGACGATACAACAGGACCAGATGATGAAAGAAAAGGTGAAAAAAAAAAAGCATGCGCATTAAAAGTATCAGTCTGAATCACATCATAGGAAGGAAAACTCCAATAACGACGGAGGTTGGCTCCCTACATGTAATTTAGTCCATCTCTTACCAAGTTCAATAAAAAGTTGTTGCTTTTACCTAAATAATTCCGCTTAAAGCTACACTCTCCATTAATAACCTGTCAAGATCCAGTATAAATTAACAAATCTAGTTTAAAAAGTAAGGATTTTCTTCAAACTCACCCTTTCACCATCGCACACCTCATACCTCTTCTCCCTTCCCCCCGATTCAACCACCTAGTTCCCTTTCAATCCACATCCCTCTCCTCAACTTATTACACGCGTCGGGATCTGAACCTTAAAAACCAAAGCCTGACTATCGAGATTATATCCACTCTCATCACTATAAGCAAACTTTCCTCCTTCCAAATACCCACTTTGCGTAATGAAATCGTTATCGCTCAAGCTGAAAACATACTAATATTCACAATATTAGATTTTATTCTCTCATATCCATCTACGAGACGGAGACTTACCCATTCGCCATCTGCTCCATCAACACCATCAACAGGTACTACAGCAATACTCTCCCACTTCTCATTCAACAGTCCTTTATCCGTCTTCCCTCCATTATGTACCCCAAACCTACCTAGCTCGTTATTATCGTTAAAATCCAACCACCCACAATACTCTGCCGTCACAATTCCATTAACCAGCACTCCCGTCGTGCTAGCGACTGAACAAGTCGCACAGTCATACTTTGCCCCCTTGATATTTGTCGCACTAGAGATATCAAAAACATCAATCTGTCTATAAATACTAAGTGTATTACTCTGTCCATTTCCCGCGTTGGAATCTCTTGCTAGAACTAAGAATTGTCCATTGGGTAAAGCATGAATCTCAGACTGCGCGGCAACTTTCGGATTTTTACTTTTGCTAGCTGTTGGATCGGTCCAAAGAGGAAGAGGGACTACGTACTCGCTCAGATACACAGGGTTGTTTGGATCCGAGATATCGTATGAGAGAAAGCGTGTATAGCGCTCGTTCTGTTTTTTCAAGCCGCCTTCTTGGTTGTTCGCTGCTTGGAGGAGAGTATAGAGAGTTTTTCCATCGGCAGATATGCTCAGCCCCTCAAATCCATGGTTGTTACCTCTACCGGTAGGATTATCAGCTGGCGATACGTCGTCGCCAGAGGCTTGATCGGAGTAAAAGTATGGGGAGTCGGCAGAGAAAGATTCGCTACCGTTACGCATGGGTATGAAGGCATCTGGTGGTCGGATGGCGGAGATCATTGTGCCAGAGGAGTTAAAGTGGTAGATATAGGGACCCTAGGGGATGGTTAGACCAATAATAATATTAGAGAGGCCAAATACATACATATTCATCACTGACCCAGAAGCCGCCCGAGCCATCAAGAGCTAGACCCTCTGAATCGACCGGTATTCTCCTCCCGCCAGTACCATCATTCCCAAAACCATCACCTGTATATGTCGCAACAGGTAAGTCTGGAAAGCCATCATAACTTAAATGCCCCAATCCATCAGCATCCAGCCCCGTTGTGGGTGTACCATCAGGTCCATAGAAAAGTACAGTGTCAATATACTCAAACACCAAATTGTTTCTCGATGGATTAGCTACCGTTGCACCGGGCATAGGAGTAAAAAGAATATCGAATTTATGCACTCGAGCTTGGTAATTGAGTGTACCCTCCGTATTCCTATTTGCGCATCAGTACTCACTATTTGATTTCTTTCTGAAGTCTAATAGAAACTACCAACCATCCTCTATCTGGCAACGTCCACAGCACTCCCGCATAACTTCCGTTGCTTAACTTAGTCCACGTCTTGCTATCCATTGCAATAGAGCTTCCAATCCCTCCAATCGTATCCCCAAACTTATCACGGGTAGTTCCAGGAATGAATCCATAACCCCCCAACTCCTGATACGTGTATGTGTTGCCATTACACGTCGTTTGATTGACATATGTACTACTTTGAGCGATCGCAAGACCGAAGAAACAGACTACTGTGATAAATTTTCCTGAAGACATCACTAATGACTGGAAACAATGTAAATGATATGAAACAGAAAAATGAAAAGTACATGAGAAATATTGTACAGATGGAGGGGTAATATAGCAGACATATACTTCCTTGCTCAAGGCAATGTGTACTAGTTAGTATAGACTTAACTATATTAAATGCATTTACCCATAGTCAGAGACCATATTAGCAAAGAATATAAACCAATAAGTGATGCAATCTACCTGAAGTTAAAGACGCGGAAGCTTTCTAGTTTCCTTAACCCAGGTACAACCGTTGTCGTGAAGGATTTGGGGCTGACGGAGAAAATGCAAGAAGGGAAGGTAACTGTGATTGTTACTAATAATAGATGCACGTGTACTATTGTGAGCCTTCATTGGTCAATCGATCAATCGATCAATCTGACTAATTGAATCGGAGAACCTTCACAGTACATTTCAATACCAGGAATACTTACCAAGATACCTGGTTGAAAAAAGAGTGTCACGTTGCAATGTTTCATGATTCCTTAATACCATATTCATTGTGATATCTGAATCTGAAAATGCTCCTGCATTTTTGTCATATGTCTGAATCTCATTTCGATTCGTCCAATTCCTTAAATTGCTCAAACTTCCCCCACCACTGACACATGCACAGTGTGTCTCATAAATTCAGAGGTATCGAGAAAATGAAAAATTGCTTCGCAAATGCCTATTGTGTATCGCCTCACGATGTTCATCGGAGAATTGAATCTAAACAGAAAAATAACTTTTCAGAAAACAATATCATTCTGATCCTTCGAAGTAACTCCACTTAGGTAGCGAAATCGCTCCTGAGTATGTGATATCATTGAGCGAAAAGTAAGGAAAAATATCATTATCCAGATCGGACAGTAGTTTGTCCTGCTAGATGTATATGGAAAGTTGTTCAAAGATCGTAAACGTCCCAACCATCAAGTTTATTGGCATTATAGATGATTCGGCGTCCTTGTTCTGAGGATGGGCTTTTTGGTCGTGCGTGGTCGATCCGTAGCTCCTCATCAAGTCACAACTCATCTTCATCATCAAGTTCGGCAGGCTTGATGAGTCCTCCAACCTTGGATAGACGTTCACGTTCTGCGGCCTTGGCGTCTCTTTCGGCTGTTTCCTTCTCATCGGCATAAAGCTCCGTGTTGTCTCCAGCGAACTCCTTCAATGAGATCAAGAAGTCTCTCAAGTTAAGTTTGAACCGATCGAGAGAATGGTTGAGAGTGAAAAGACCCTCGACGAAGGCTTGAATCTGAGGTCTAAAATGGTTTAGCAACGTAAGTTGAAAGGGGAGAGGGTAGAGGGTATTGACTTACGCTTGAAGATTAGGGAATGCATTCTGCAATAGAGTAGCCACAAAGTTTGTGAGGAAATCTTTGTTACTTGCTCCTGGTGGAGCTTGATCCTGAGCAAAGATTGGCATTTGAATCTTTGGTACAGTACCATCAGCTGGGTAGACAAAGTAAAACATCCTTGCCAACAAAGTTGCTTGCGACTTGAACCCAGCTTTGTGATCAGTATCGGTGAGTACAAAGAAAACATCCTGGAGAATTGGAACGAAAAATTGTTGGAAGAAGGCGCTAGAAGTTGCAGGATCCGTTTCCGCGATGTTAGTGATCAACTCCAAACACATATTAAGGCCAGCATGTTCGACCTCTCTGTTGTCATGCTTGCTAGCCCACATGCAAGAATCAATGACGAACTTGAATTGTCTGTTATCAAGCTTGAGGAGTGCAGGGAAGCAATGGAGATTGATTGCGCGGAGTAGGCTGAAAAACTCGACACGATGTTCGGGGAATTCTGAGAAATCCTTGTTGATCATTTCCAAAGTGCATTCAAAAACATTTGACATGATGTTTGGCACTTGATCTTCCATGAGGCCCTGTGTTGGATGTTAGTAAATGCAGGATATATCTCCAGAACAAGGAGATTAAAGAAAGAAAGGGTATGCACCACTGAATATTTCGAGCGATATGGGGTCCAACGTACAGAAAGCTTGGTTATAATAACAGACATGACCTTGAGAACTTCGGCGTCACGAGCACCTGGCACATTGCGGTTATAATCGACAAGGACTGCTTCAAGAAGAGCTGGAACGATATTATTTCGTACCATCTCAAGATCATCAGACTTCTCAACAAAAGTTTCGATGAGCTTGAGAATTTCCTTCTTGATAGTTCTCAAACCTCGGACCCTAGGCATTTTGGTGGCAATTTCGCCTATTACAGATTACTAACGCGGAATGTAAAAGGCATAAGGGAACTACTTACCCTCATTTGCAACTGCTTCAGAAATCATTGTGCTTGTTGCCTTGTACATAGACAACATGTCAAGGTAAATGCGCCCAATTTGAGGGTAGAAATAGCTTCCAATTGAGGAGCAAGCAGAAACGTTAGTTTTCATAACATTACCGATGACCTTGATGGTATCAGCATCTTGAAGTATTTGTGGATTAGTATTTGCTTGAGCGATAATGGCATCCCAAGCGGCGTTCGGATATGACATCAATTCGCCAATTAGTCGTTCTTGAGAATTCTTCTGTGGTTGAGCTGCGATCATATAACCGCACGCCTCGTAGAAAGTGTGTACTTGCTGTGGGGATAGATCACAAGTGATCTTTCGCATGGTTCTTACAATTTCCTCAATGAATGGTTCCGATTCACCAGGTTGTAAAGCAACAAAGTGACGCTTGCACTGCCTAGCGATCTTGATGAACGTGTCACAAGCCATGTCTTGAACACCTTCGTGGGATTCGTGCATGAATTCAAATAACTTGTTAACGACCGTCTTCAAGAATTTCCAGTGAGCCTTCAAAAATCGTGGATATTGACCAACGATATACATGATGTTACTAGCAACCACGGCTTTGTTGTCTTTTCCTCGTTTCATTTCAGTTAAGCCGAGTAAATCCTTGATGACGGTTACCAAGAAACGTTTCTCAGTTTCTTCGTTCATGGCAAGGGAGATAGATCCAATAGCCCAGCACAAAGTATTGCAATTTGCCCAAGACCATTCGCTGCCATCAACTTGTCGAGATAACTTTTCTGTCATGATGTTTTCAGTGTCGACTACATCCAAATGGGTGAGGTAAACCAAGCACTCTCTGGTTGTCTTGTACAGTTGAATTGTGTCGCTCTCCTTGACAAATTCACGAACAATTTCACCCTCATCGTTCTCAACAATCAATACCTCCTCGGGTCTGACCATTTTCTCAATCATGACGACTCGCAAGTTTGAAAGCACTTCATTGTACTTGTGTTTCCGGAGAGGGTAGTTCGCGAGTAAACTTGGATTTGGCGCGCCAGGATTTGAAATACCTCCCACACCCATTCCAACAAGTGGGTTAACGTCACCAATTGGTAGTGATTGTTGTTCATCGTACAACTCTTGAACAAGTCTAGTCCAGTATTCTAAACAAATCTTGAAGATTTCTCGGTCTTCGATTTGGGAAATTCGAATAAGGTAAAAATGACCATGGGTGAGGAAATCGCGGTTCGGTAGATTCTCTATGAGCTATTGAGAAAGTTAGAATTCATCTAGAAAGAGAAGCGGAAGAGTACGCTTACAGTCAAGTGGGAGGAAAAGAAGTTGCACAAGAAAAGGGCCAGGTTCTGGATAAATTCTTGGTCCTTGGAATTACTTGAATTATATGTGCTCTTGAGGTCGAGAGTTAAGGGGATGATCTTGGAAATTGTGGTCAAAACTTCGGTAAACATTTGAACCAACTTCTCGTCATAGTTGTTCCCGGTGCCGGTCTGGAGTCCACCAATCTCTGTCAAACATTTCAATGTGACATTTCTGAATTCGGGCGTCTCCAAAAATCTTTCCCTGAGAGTATCAATAACGGTCGTCTCGAAAATATAGCCAAGAGGAATCCAGTTGAAGAATCGAAGAAGCGTCTCGAGAGTAGCCTTGATCAAACTTGCTTGGGTGGCGCTATTCAGGACTTCGTTGCAAAGTTGAAAGATAGATGAAAATTCTGCACACATTGTCGTCTTCAAGTTCTTCGTCTTGGCAGAGGTCATTTGGTCCGCCGAGTAGTCAAAGACCTCCTCCGATAATAATCTCAAAATCGACATGTTATTCTCGCATATCGACAAACTGGTATGGCAGGAGGATATGATCTCGTTGATAAAAGTAGGCCAGTTATGAGGCCATTCTTGCTTTAGGATAGAAACGAGGACAAGGTTCAATTTGTTTAAAAGGACTCTCTGGGACCTGAGAGATTCTTCTGATCCGGAACATTGTATAATGAAACCAACGACAAAATTTCGAATACCTGAAACAGATCAGTATAACAATCTTCCCAGGGAATGAACACATCTTGTATGTACCTTGACACTGCTCTCTAGGCAGAACCTTCCACCTTGTCATGATAACATGATCTAGCACTTGCAAACCCAAATCTTATAATTTGTCAGCGAAAAGTATGTAAAGTACTGGAGGACGTTGACCAACATTTGGCTTGCGGATATGTAGACTCTTGTAATATCTTATCTACTAATAACCACGCATCCGGATCCTCCTTGAACTATACTTCATATCAGTATCGAAAGCGATATTGAAGGAGAGAAGATTTTTGGCGCATAAAGAAGTCGTACCTGATT